ATAATAGAATATCAGAAATAGACAATATTCTGAAAGGGCAAAGGAGTAGAATAGAAGAGATTGGAGGCAAAACCAGTAAGCTTGAAGACAAATCTTTAAATATCACTAAGATAGAAGAGCAAACAGAAAAAAGGATTAAAAAAAAAAATCAGAAGAAAGTCTAAGACTTATGTTGGACACCATGAAGAGGAATAACTTAAGAATTATTGGCATTCCAGAGCAAGAAGAATCATACAAGTCCACAGAGAAAATAGTTGAAAATCTGCTGGAAGAAAATTTCTCTAACATCCTGAGAAGAGAAAAGATAAGCATTCAAGAAGCTCAACAAACCCCGGGTAGGATAGATCCACCCCCACCCCCCCAAAAAAAATCACTGAACATATCATTATCTAGCTCTCCAAAATCAAAGATAAGGACAGAATCCTGAAATCAGCTAGGGCAATCAGAAGTGTTGCATACAAAGGCAAGCAAGTCAGATTAAACTCAGATCTCTCAGCAGAAACCATGCAAGCAAGAAGACAATGGAGAGACATGTATAAAACTCTGAAAGAAAAAAACTACCAATAAAGAATCCTTTATCCAATAAAACTATCAATCAAATATGGTGGTGTAATCAAGACATTCCAGGATAAACAGAAGCTAAGGGATTTTCCCAAAGCAAACCCTGTACTACAAAACATCTTAAAGGGAGTTCTGTGGAATGAGAACCAACAAGGACAGACAACAACCAGAGATTGACATACATGCCAGCACCTCCCAGAATTAAATCGACAGAAGAAAGAGTCGAGAACAGAACAAAACTCAGGGAATCTGGAACGCCAGTCTATGATCAAAATAATTACAGTGTAAAACAAGGTAAACATGGAGGAACAGAGATCCAAATAGTGAGAAGCTCAGGTAGATTGAAGGATAAAATAGACTGCACTAAATGGAGGGAAAAGTTAATGGACTATAAGGTAACCTCAAAGAAAATGAGTACTTCACAACATACCAAGAAAATGAAAATCCAAGAACATGGAAACATTAAAACTATGAGGAAACTCACAAGAATTTGAGTTTCACAAAAAGCATCAACACAGCAAAGGAAGACACACAGAACAAAGAAAGCAGCAACACCACACAAAAAAAGAAACAAACATAATGGCAGAAATTAATCCATACCTATCGATAATTACATGGAATGTAAACAGATTAAATGCACCAATTAGCAGATGGAGGGTGGCAGAATGGGTAAGAAAACAAGATTGTTCAATATGCTCTCTGTAAGAGACACATCTCACATGCAGAGTCAAAAGCAGATTAAAAGTCAAAGGATGGGAAAAAATACACCAATCTAATTGCAATCAGAAACTAACAGGAGTGGCAGTACTAATCTCTGATAAAATAAATTTTAAGGCAAAAACCAGCATAATAGATAATGCTGGACATTATTTCATGATTAAAGGGACAAGTGAAAAAGATGACATAACCATAATAAATATCTATTCTCCCAATGAAAGAGCTCCAAAATATATAAAACAAACTCTAAAAATTTGAAGAAAGAAATAAGGAAGAGCCAAGCGGAGGCAGTGAGCCAGTGCTACAAGCCGAGGAGCTGCGCTTCTGAAGGGAGAAGTGTGACTGATTTTTCATCTTTCACTTTTCATTTTTCACATATCTCGCCTCTTCCCTCCCATCGCGCCCTCACTGCACACACAGCCCAGATACCTTCAAGCAGGCAGGAGCACACTCCCAAAAGGATGCAGCATTGAACCCACAGTGATGTTATTTATTGGTGCAGTGGTGAAGATTTTTGTTTTCTTTACATTGAGAAGCAATCCATACCGAAGGCTGTGTTTTTGATCTTTATTGGTAATATTTTTTTTGTAAGTTTCCTTTCCTTCCAGAGTAAGCAAGTTTGCATCATCTGCATACTGCATTAGCAGTGATCTATTAGGACTGGATTTGTATGCAGGCTGAGTGGGTGTGGAAGGAAAAGTTAGACTATATTCATGTGTATAGCTTTGACAGAGGAAATTTCTACATGTGTATTTATAGACACGAGTGTAATGCAGGGCAAATAAGGGAAAGGTCTGAAAACGTAGTATGTAAAACCAAACACTTTGCAGAAATAAGTCACAAGGACGATGGTCTTGGGAGGTACCTGGGACAACTGGCAGAATATAGTCTACAAAGACAATGTTTTACATTTGGCACTTGGGGGACGTGAAAGCTCATGAGATGCCATCAAAAGTGCAACTACTTGTATCTCCCTGTGTAGAGGGAAAAACAGTGAAGAAAGTCAGCATAGAATGGAAACAAACCACAAGAACCTCAGCCTCCATGACTCTTAGACCAGAAGAACTAGATGGATCCTGGCTACTACTAACATCTATTCTGAAGGGGATCACATTAGAAGGTCCTGGGGAGAGATAAAGAAATATAGAAGATAACTCATAATCATGATAAAGACTAGCTTTCCATCAGATGGAGACTGGTGGATCCCCAAAGACAATGGGCTTTGGTTCCCCTTTGTGTCTAAAATGAACTCTGTCTTGTTGCTCAAGTTCCAAACAAGCAATAACCCGGTTTATGAGGAGCGCAAAGGAAATCTGGTAGTGTGGGGGTTATGAGTTGAGCAGCTAACCTCAAGTTCAGATGTTAGAATCTACTAGCTGCTCCATGGGAGAAAGATGAGGTTTTTGACTCTAGTAAAGATTCACAGCCTCAGAAACCCTATGCAGGGTCACCATGAGTCAGAACCAAGTCCATGGCAAACAACCTTTACCATCAGCACCACCAGCATCGTAAAGGGAATAATATCCATGGGGAGGTATCCACACCTTAGACCACTCAACCATTTGAGGTAAATGGGCAGCGTTGTTGATACAGGGCCAAAGTTCCCCAGTACTTGGAGAGATGGAGGAATTGAAACAGGAAACAGGGCTAAGTGATGTGTCTTTGTGGAGACTGCAACCAATGAGATGAAACATGATTGTTGGATGAATTGTTATATGGAAGAAGACTGATCTTCTCGGTCAACCTTCACTCAAGTGACAATAAAAGTTTAAAAGAAGGCATAACAAAAACACTCCAAACCCACTTTCTAGAGGTGACCAAGCCAACACAGAATTATTTTCTAAAAGTTATGCATTGTTACATGATGTTCACACAGAGAAGAAATTGTGTCTTATCCATGAATGGCTTGTAGGGTGCATGAGGACCAACAGGCAAATACAAGTTCTTCTGCACATCTCTCAGGGACAGACATACTCAAAACCCTCCAAGATCTTGTCTTAAATAGGGGTTCCAGGGCTCAGTGCCCACGAGCAATTCCTTGATGTGCGTTGAGCATGAGGTAGAAATGATGGTAAGTGATTTCATCCTCAGATCTTGGCTCTATCATCATTTGGCATCTGTTAAGATGCACGGCAGAGAACTTTCTGTTCTTCCACAAGAAATGTGGAGAAGGTAGGCTGCAGCCAAAAAAAAAAACCAACCAAATAACATATATTTGCTTTTCTTTGAAACCTAACTTGGAAGACATGAAAGGGAGAACTTGTCCAATGAAAGGATGAAAACCCACGGAGGTACATGTTCTGGCATAAGTAAACATTGTCCAAACTATCTCATACATGCAGACCCTGGACTTCTTCCAAAGAAGGTCAATAAGAAGGAATCACTTCCCCAAAGTCTAAAATATCTTCGGAGCTCTGCCAACCAGGATGTTCACTGTTGATGGTTTTAAATGATGTCTTAGGATTAATGTGAACACGAAGACCAACTGCCACATCCATGACAAACAGTATAAAGAGAGGTGAGAATTCAGAACCTCCACAGAGCAGTTTACCTTCTATTAGCTGCTTCAGAAGAGCGAGAAACAGATTCAAACAAGATGAAGATTCTCCTCTTGACTCTGACCCTTGTTTTCACGTGTGGTGCCCTGGACAGTGTGCCTGATGAAGATCTCTCACTGGTATGAGGGGCAGCCAGTTGTTGGGGTGGGGGGTCTTCTATGCAGATGTCTGTTCTTTTGGGGGATTTTATATCTGTTTCCAAATATGTGTGCATTTATGTCTCCACATCTAACTTCCAACCCCACTATACCTCTATTTATTGGGTACTTGTAAGTTTCTAAGGAGCCCAGATAGGATAGGATAAGCACTGGACTGCTAAACACAAGCTCAGCAATTCAAACTCACCAGCTGCTACATGGGGGAACGATGAGACTGTCTGCTCCCATAACAACTGACATGTCCAGAAATCCTATATAGATAGATAGATAGATACATAGATAGATAGATAGATAGATAGATAGATAGATAGATAGATAGATAGATAGATAGATAGATAGATTCCCTGTGAGGAGCAAAAGATTTGAAGCCATTGTTGTCTGTTTGTTTGAATTTCTGTTGCTACTCCTCATGAGGGAACTCCTGTTCATGGCAACCTCCTACATTGCATAGTAGAGTGGTGCTTCAAAGGGTTTTGAATAGTTGAGTTTTTGAAAGCAGATCCCCTGCCTTTCTGCTGAGGTGCCTTTTCCTGAGTGGATTCAGCCCTCGCACCTCTCGGTTAGCGGCTGGGTGCAAACCCATGTCCTCACCAAGGGAATGTTGAGTTTCTATTCTACTTGTCAGTATGTGTATTAACCCAAGAAAGCAATGTGATTTATCCAGAGTATTTGATTTATTTAATGTGATGTATCCAGAATGTGTGATAATAGAACATAAAGTATGACAGGAAGTTCTCAATTTAATTTCTTCAGGCTGATATTGTTTGTTCTGCTTTGTTTATCATATTTTATAAGTCTTCCTTTGTTCAATAAATTTAGATATTCTTGGACCGGTGAAAAGCTTAGAACTGACAAGTTTATATAGGAAAAAAAAAGAAAAGAGGGGAGTTTCTGCCATTTCTTACAGGAATTCTGCATTTAGCTTACAGGAAATTGGAAACATCTTTATCTGGCTTCCAATAACACAGCGCTGCAAGAAAGGGCTTTCGTTTCCTACATGCGTAGGATGCAGTACACCTCGAACAATGAAATCTTGAGCTTCGGTTTTTATTTCAAGTAAGTTTAAAACAAAAACAAACAATAATTTGAGTTTCCAAGAGGAAAGATTTGAATTCTGTGTTTTCAAGGAGAACGGTGGGCTCTGAGCCGTGGGTCTTGGCGGGTGTATGGAGTTAAAGATTCAGTGTTCAGAGAATGCCAGGGACCAAAACCTTAGAGGAAAGACAGTAGAAGTGTTCCACTGGAGCCATCGCATAGAATATTAGAGGGACTAAGACAAGGAAGGAATGCTGATGTTGTTGTGAGCCTTTGAGGTGTTTCGGACTCATTGTCATGCCTCTGTATTGGGTTTCCAAGAAAGACTGTTGGGTTTGAACTGTTGATCTTATGGTGGTTTGGAATCCTACAGTGCCATACCATAGCTCTGAGGAGGGAACAGTCTCCTCAAATCCATGGATTCCCCATGGAAACCTTCACGAGTCATTTTCAAAAGTCAAGTCACACTTTGGAGAGTCATGCTCTGAAAAACTGTGAGCAGAATACGACATGATCTACAACTGGAGTAGGTTAGCCATGACAACTTTGAATCCACTGACCAAGGGACAAAGGCTTTCATTTCCTCAAAGTTGATGGATAAGATGACCACTACGTTGCAGAGGTTTTGTTAATAACTCAAATGAATATAAGACAGAGGAACGCTTTTGCTTTCTTTTGAAATCTAGTCAGGGTACAGACCTTTAAACACTACCTATCTGAAGTTCCACAGGAGAGGTAAGATGAGGTGGAACAGCAGGCACTAATATTGCTGTCACATAATTGACTGGACTGCAAGGTCGATGGTTCAAATCTGCTCCACCAGCTGCTCCTGGAAACCCTATACAGAGTTGCTATGAGTCAGAACAGACTCAACAACAGTCAGATCCTATAGCAGTACTGTAGGAAAACCATTGGACTTCTAAACACAACTCTGGCAGTTTAAACCGAGCAGCCACTCCTTGGAAACCCTATACAGGGTTGCTATGAGTCGGAACTGGCTCCACTGCAATTAACAACAACTACACCACATGTCTGGAGGACTGAGAGAGGGTGCTTTTGAAGCAGAGACTGAATTTTAGAGCAAAGAAACAGGAAGAGGGAGGGAAATGTATCTGTTCAGAAGCATTCAGTTACGAACCATAAATAAAGACGTGTAATAGTCCAGGTATCTGGTAGCATAGTGGTTACGAATCGGGCTGCGAGCCACAAGGTCAGCAGTTCGAAACTACCAGCGGTTCTGCGGGAGAAAGATGAGGCGGTCTGCTCCTGTAAAGATTTACAGCCTCGGAAACCCTGTGTAGGGTCGCTATGAGTCGGAACTGACTCCATGGCACATCACAACAACAACAACAATAGTCCAGGTAGGTAGGAAGGAAATTCCACAAGGTGAAAATCTGCAGAAAACATGTTATTTTTTTAAAGAGGTTTTTTTCTGAAGAATCCTATGTGTCTTGATTCTGAGCCAACCTCTCTTAGCTCTCACAAAAAGGATGCCCACTGGAGGCCCCAGAACACATTTTCTGTTTCTTCTCGGGTTTCCTCTCTGAGAGTGTATCCAAACATTGGATGTATTTGGGGATGCATTTTGGTATAGTTTAAAACAACAACAACAAAAGCAGGTATTTGGACATGCATTGGCATGTATTCTACATGGTCTTGACTCCTAAATCTACTCCTAAAGTTTCGCATTGAGTGTTGACAACAATGGATCTGCACCTCAATCAAACGAAGTCATTTCAGGAATTGTAGACATTTCTTTACCTCGGCCAAACACACAAAGATATTTAAACACTGACAGATGGTTTGAAGGTTAAAAGCAAAATCAACATTGCAAACACTAGGAAGGAAGATTATATGAAAGCTAATGAAAGTGGCCACGCTGTGGTTTGGTTGGTGACTTTCATTGGGACCACCCTAAACAAGCAACTGCCACTTTACAGTAATATCTGGAGTCCTGGTGTGGCACTGCTGGACTGCAAGGTCACTTTGAGATGCAAAGTTGGCAGTTCAAACCCACCAGTTAGCTGCTCCACAGAAACCCTCTACAGGGTTGCTGTGCGTCCGAGCCCATTGGATGGTACTTAATAATAACAACATACATTTTTGAGATGGGCAGGTTATCATTTTCTTTGTCAGGTTGAGAATTTATGCACCCTTCCATTTTTAACCAGCTTTCTGTGTAAATACACCTATTTTGAGTAAATTTTTTGAAGTCAGTATCCAAGCCATGAGATAAGCACTTTGAGGCAGGTCATGCAGCACTGACAAATATTTATATATATAATATCTCCACCAAGTTCAATATTCTTTGCAGCCCAGAAAGCAGCCTGAATTCTTTTTTAGTCAATACCTGTCCATCTGGCCATTGTTGACCACAATTGTACATTGACTCACCTGTCCTACCCTTTTCATTGAAAGGCACAACACAGTACCTACCGACACACCTCGTATTATTGGACACCCTTTAATTGAGCTTTACAGATAATACATTTTTGACAAATGGAAAGTTTGTGGCAACTCCGTGCCAAGTAAGTCTACAGTTGCCGACTCATATGTAAAATATAAACATGTATGGTACATGAAAGAAACAAATGAAATACTACCGATCCCACAGTTAGAAATTGAATGGCTTTATTGAATTCATCAATTCACCTAAAAACCTGTTGGTTTCCAGGTATGATGGAGAATGCTTACCCCGTTATGAATACACCAAGAGACAGACGGGGAATTACTTCACCGGTATTGGTAAGTTCCACTGTTTTTCTAGGGTGGGAGAGGGGTGTGTGTTAGGATTAAATTCATTGTGTCAGTTTACAACAAGAACTCCATAGATCTGAATTCTACTTCTGCTAATTAGTAAGCGTAAAACCAGGTATAATCCCCTAAATTTTCTAAGCACTTAATATATGCAAAGAGCTCCATCATGTTACTGCTACGGTCTTATACAACTTTAAGTATTTTTTTTGGAGAGACTAGGAATGGATGCTAAGGACATTTATTTCATGTGGGATTCAGGCAGATGAAAATGTTCCGAGCAGTTAAAATAACCTAAAGCCAAATGGGTCTAACTTGAGTCTCAAGAACAAGATCAGTTTTGTTTAGAACAGATTAAACTTCCCCAAATAATCTTAAATCAGCTGAATTAATTCCTTCCTGGTGTAATTTTATTAACCTGTATCAAAGAAAATGTAGGACGTTCATATATCAAGAACATGTCCCCTACCATAGTTTCTGCTACAAGTCTTATAGCTGTTGGATCCAATTTCTCTCTCTGCTTTTCTGTTTGTGTTTTGAATGGTCCTGAAGAATATTCTGAATTCTTATTGGCCCAGAGTCTAAATACATTGTTTAAACCTAACTGTATAAAGAACATAGCATAGTAGCACAGAAGAATGCAATGAATCGAATGAATGGCTCATCTATTGTTGAGTAACTATAACTTCATCTTATTTAACTATTAGCCTTTACATATGTTGTTGTTGTTAAGTGTTATTAAGTGCCTTCGAATCAATTCCAACCCATAGAGACCCTATTTAGGGTTTCCAAGGAGAAGCTGGTGAGCTTGAACCACTGACCTTGCAGTTCAAATGACTTTGCAGTCTAACACATTAGCCCACAGTGCCGCACTAGGACTAGTGGGTTTGAACCACTGATCTTTCAGTTAGCAACCGAGTGCATATGCTGCCTGGCAAGGAGATCTGGTTGCATTGTTGGATAGATATTTGGCTGCTAACAACAAAGTCAGATGTTCAAACCCACCAACCTGTCTGCTGGAGAAATATGAGGCTGTTTGCTCCCATAAAGATTTGCTTTCTGAAGACACCCTACATCAGGTCTCTATGAGTCGAAATCAACTATAAGGGCAATGGGTTTGATTTTTGGGTCACTTGGTACTGATGTATCTTTGAAGTCAGTGTAAGGTCTCTGAGTCTTGTCTTGCACAAAGGTCAGGCAGAATAAGAATCCTGTGCAGTTGGCCCAAATATCCAATTCCTAAATACACAATTAGGAATGGATCATGTTCATAACTTGGAACTTTCCTGTACAAAGAATCTGGAGACATAATGTCATTCCACTTTTTCTTGATTGCAACAAATATGTATGCAGTGCATCATTTTTCATTTCAATATTCTACATATATAGTTTTGTTTCTCACATTGGTCAAGCATCGATGCTACCCAATTCCAAATTTTTCCATCACCCTTAAATTCATAAGCTCAGTGTGTCTTAAGCAGCATGTTCATTGTTTATATCCTCCTCCCCAGTTCCTGGTAGCACTGATAAGCTTTAGCTTCTCTACAATTACCTACTCTAGATAGTTCATGTTGTTGTGGCAGGAAAGTGCCATCAAGTCAGTTCCGAATTATAGCAAGTATGTCTAGGGTTTCCAAAGAGTGGCTGATGGGTTTGAACTGCTGATCTTGTGGTTTGCTGACCAGTTCATTATCCTGTAAAGCCACACCAGGAATCCATAGAGTGAAGGTAAAATAATACCCCATGGTATACACGTACCACATTCTCTTCATGCATCATCCTTTGGTGGATGTGTAGGTTGCTTTCATCCTTGGTTATGTGGAACAATGAGTGAACATTGGAGTACAGAACACATGATGTAGGAAGAGAAAATGGGTGATCCCTGCATAAGAAAGGAAGGTAAAGGAAGAAAGGGTATAGCCAAAGAATTTTAGTATCTTAGCAAGTTTCTGTTGCTATCAATATATAGACATAGCCATGCGAAAGTTGGACAGTGAATAAGGAAGACCATTAAATAATTGATGCATCTGAGTTATGAGGTTGGAGAGGAATATTAAAAGTCCCATGGACTGCCAGAAGAAGACACAAATCTATATTGGAAGAAGTACAGCCAGAATTCTCCTTAGGAGCCAGGATGACCAGACTTCATCTCTCATACTTCAGACATATTATCAGGAGGGACCTGTCCCTGGTGAAGGGAATCATGCTTGTTGAAGTGGAGGGCTGTAGAAAAAGAAGAAGATCCCCAAAGAGATGGATTAGCACAGTGGCAGAAAGAATGGGCTCAAATGTAGCATCGATTGTGAGGTTGGTGCAATCCGGGAAGTGTTTCCCTCTATTGTTCAATGGATCACCAGGAGTATGTTCCTACTCAAGGGCACATGTCAACAACAACATCAACAATGTGTATGCATATATGTATGTATATAGATATATAGATATATTTGAGGGGACTTCAAAACATTTGTTGAAAACAATTCATTGTCTTTTGATTCCATGATCTCATGAACGTTGTGAAGTCCACTGATATACGTAGTAACCATTGTTAGGTTTTGCTGAGTTGATTCTGATCCATGGCTAGACCATGTGACAGAGCAGAAGTGCTCCATAGTGTTTTCTAGGGGGTCATCTTTTAATCTGGACAGCAGCCAAACACCACGTCCTTCTCCTGAAGAATTACTAGGTGTGTCCAAGCTGTACACCTTGAGATGTGCAGCTGAGAGCTTAATCCTCACTCCATGGGGACTCTTACTCATAGACTGATATATTTTTGTTCCCACAGGTCCTCTTAATAACACTTTCAAACCTGTGTATGTGACAGAAGATGTTATGATAGGATTGTACATCAATGTCAGTGTCCAGGGAGTGACCAGCTATATTATGCAGCTCTTGGGTAAGCATCACATTCCCACCTCAAAGGATTACACGGCTTTTATGTCTTCAGTGATTCTGTTCACAACATCAGCATCGAGTGGCATCACCTGTTATTAAATGTGTATGGACTCCAATTCTAACTGCCATTGAGTAGATTCCACTCATGGTGCCCTGTGTGTGTCAGAGCAGAACTGTGCTCCACAGGGTTCTCAGTGGATGATGTTTCATAAATAGATCCCACTTATGGTGCCCCTGTGTGTGTCAGAGTAGAACTGTGCTCCACAGGGTTCTCAGTGGATGATGTTTCATAAATAGATCCCACTCATGGTGCCCCTGTGTGTGTCAGAGTAGAACTGTGCCCACAGGGTTCTCAGTGGATGATTTTTCATAAATAGATTCCCTTCATGGCTTGTGTGTGACATAGTAAAACTGTGCTCCACAGGGTTCTCAGTGGGTGATTTTTCATAAGCAGATCCCACTCATGGTGCCCTCCTTTGTTTCAGAGTACAACTGAACTGCACAGGGTGCTCAGTGGGTGATTTTACATCTTGAGATTCCACTCATGGTGCCCCATGTGTGTCAGAGTAAATTGTGCTTACAGGGGTCTCAGTGGATAATTATTCATTAGTAGATTCCACTCATGTATCTCCGTGTGGGCCAGAGCAAAATTGTGCTCCATAGGGTCCTCAGTGCAAATATTTTTAGAAGCAAAACACCAGACTTTCCACTAAGGCACCTCTATATGAACCTGAACCACCATCCTCTTGGTTATCAACTGAGAATTTTACAATTTGTTTCTGTGAACTAGTAGCACTTGTTGTTCTTGTAAAGTGCCATTGAGTCGATTCTGACCCATAGTGACCCTCTAAAGATTTTCTGAGGAGTGGCTGGTGAACGTGAACCACTGACCTTGGGGATGAAACTGACATTGCAGTCCAGCATTTTATGTTCAGTTGTACCTTGGTAAAACCTTATTCTCGTACACTTCTTGCAATGTCTTATGGAGACTTTCTGCTTTCTACACATTGATTTTCAGCTAAAGAAAACTCTGTTTCTCAGGAAGTCTTTGATATGTATATGGATTATACGAGACAAGTTGGAATTCCAGAAGAAAATCTTATAGATATCATCAAGAGAGGTAACTTAACCACATACTTTTTCAGGAAGATATAATTCTTCTGAAAACTGATATGCAAATATACTTTCAGCAAATACATAGATCCTTTCAAATCTCGTTCCACTTAAATTTTCTCCTACAAAATATGTTTTCTGAAAAGTAACCTTCATAACAGCACGACAAAGTACTAATCTACTGCCAAATTTCCATTCATTTTCACAGATAACTGTTCTGATACTTTTCCAGTGTAAACAAGGGTTCTTTCCATGCCTCCTACATTTTGTAGGTAAGTTCAAATGACCAGTGTCCAGTATCGGTTCAGCAAACAATTTAAGAACCCACTGTTATTGTTCTCCTACTTGTGTTATTTTGTTGTACTGTGGTGGTTCGTGTTTTATTGTGATGCTGGAAGCTATGCCCCTGGTATTTTCAATACCACCTGGATCACTCAGGGTGGATCGGTGTCCGTGGGATTTCCAGACTGAGACTAAAGAGAAGGAAGAGGTGGTCAATTTAAGAGGGATTAGCCACTGAAAACCTTATAAATAGCTGGAAAATATTGTCTGGTATGGTGCTGGAAGGTGAGTCGTTCAGGTTGGAAGGCACCAAAGTACCAGTGGGGAAGGAGCTTCCTCTTCAAAGTAGAGTCACCCTTAATTACAAGATTGGAGCAAGATTTTCGGGACCTTCCTTTGCTGACAGGGCAGAACTCAAAATGAGATGAAGCAACTTAGCATATGCATTACTTATCAGAACAAGGAATATATGAATCTGGGAAAATCAGAAGTCATCAAAAATGAAATGGAATGCATGATGATGTAGCGTAGTGGTTACGAATCAGGCTGCGAACCTTAAGGTCAGCGGTTCAAAACTACCATCTGCTCCACGGGAGAAAGATGAGGCTTTCTACTCCCGTAAAGATTTACACCCTCGGAAACCCTATACAGGGTCTCTATGGGTGGGAACCGACTCGATAGCACATAACAACAACAACAAAATGGACTGATCTTTGCCATTTTGAATTCAAAAGTCATATGGTTTACCATTCCAGTAGTGGACAAATTATAGGGAAAATGGCATCCCAATCATCATCCAAAAGAACGTTTCAAGATCTCACTTGAATTATAATGCTGCTGTGATAGGATAATATACACCTATAAGGAAGACTAGTTAATGTGCTTATCATTCAAATTTACCCATAAACATTTTAAGCCAGTGATGAAGAGATTGAAAAGTTCTACTTAGCTCTTTAGTCTGAAATTGATCAAGCCTGCCATCAAATTGGTGGTGAAATTAAAAAGTTGAAAACAAAAAGAAAGGATCAGTTTTTGGGAAATATGGCCTTGGTGACAGAAAACAAGCTGGGAAATTCATGATAGAATTTTTCAAGCCCAATTTCCTCTTTACAAACAAATTTTGCCAACATGGACCTCACCAGATGGAATACACAAGATTCAAATTGACTATATCTGTGCAAAAAAAAGATGAGTCTTTTGGAAGACTCTCAATATCGTCATCCAAAAGAAGGCCCGGGCTGGCTATGGGACAAACCATCAATTACTTACTTGCAAGTTCAGGCTGAAGTTTAAGAAAAGTAATACAAGTCTATGAGACCCAAAATAAGACCTTGAATATATCCCACCAGAATTTAGAGACCTTCTAGAGAATGGATATGACACTTTGAATGCTAATAATTGGAGATAATATGAATTGAAGGAAGGCATCAAGACCATCATACATAAAGGAAGAAAAATGTCATCAGACATACAGGAATGAAAGAAAACAACAAAATCAATGTCAAAAGAAATGCTGAAACTTGCTCTTTAACATGGAGAAGCTAAAACAAATGGAAGTAATGAAGATATTAAAGAACTGAAGAATAGCTCTAGAAGACAGAGTAAAGTATTATAACAAAGTGTGCCAAGACCTAGTGTTAGAAAAACAAAATGAAAGAACATAGTTCTGTTTCTAATCAGACACTGTTGAATCCATCGTGAGACATAGGAATTCCATAGAAGACTATGGAACTGTGCCATATGGGTCCCAAGTCTGCTTCTTGGAACCTCATCTTTCCTCTATAGAGTGGTTATCAGTTCAAAGCACCATCATTTTGTGTAGCAATAGACCTTCTTCTTGTACTTTCCTTTAAAATTAAATAAAATTTTAAAAAATGTTTTGAATGGAAGATTAGCTAGTAAATTAGGTCCACCTTAGCAAGTTGTTCTGTGACCTTGACTACAAAATGACTCAGGACTGCCAGTGTTTCCTTTCTGACTGTTCTGTTTCCACTGGTGTAGTTTCTCATGCTATACAGACGTCCATGTACGAATGTATCTACTCTACTACCTGATCACACCCAACCATTAAACCATGACTACCTATGAGTGTCTTTCAGATTCCTCCAGCTAAACATTTTGGCTTGTTTTTTGTTCACCCACAGAACGTACCGGCATCTAGAACGAAATGCATCATCTTCACCATGGAATGAGGATCATCAACACAAAGAAATCATTCTTTGTTCGTCTCTAGCTTATCTTTCTCTCATGGAAGACATGTTGCCTTCCTCACTTTGTCTTCCTTGGTCACATTTTATGCTCTTTGTGCTGTCACTAGATTTCTACACATCTCAATAAATGGATTTACTCCATACACTGTCCCTGGGTGTCTGTGAAAGAAGGGATTGAATATGAGGACCAACAAGTGTTCACGTTCAATAAAGCTGTTGATAAAACATGTCTATCATGAATTTGAGGGCCTATTGGAGATAAAGTTACTTAGAATTGGAGAGAGAATTCTTAGAGGTATCCAGGTGAAAGAGGATAAAGAGTCTAAGACATCATGTGAGATGTTTTACTAAATGAGGGTATCTGCACCAACATCTGTAAGAAGCATCCTCTGCAGCATGAGTTCAGGGGATAACTTGAGTATGACTCATGGTAGATTAGACAGAGAGAAAATAGCACATACTGAAATTAAGGGCACACTCCTGCTACTATACCACCATCACATGTGAAACTGGGTGGGAGAACTGATATTTGGTGATAATAGAATAAATGGTGATCGACAATAAGACAGCAACCAACCAAGATCTAAATTAAATACCTGAAGGGCGACTACAGAACATAGTCTTCAAGGTTCTACCAAGTCTATATTTGACCAGTCAGCCTGGTCATTTTTGTTTTTTTAAAATGATTCTGGGTTTTGTTTCACATTGTTTTATGACTCTATCTAGGACCTTCTAATGTGATCCTTTCAGAGTAGTTGGTCATGGTAGTCAGTATCAACTTTTTC